CACAGCCATGTTTCACCCAACAAACAATATCCCTCCTAATGAAGGCTGCTAGACAGCTGTGATGGTTCTGAACAAAAGCATCAGCTCTCATTCTGTTGAAGAGCTATCGAATATTTGTTTTGCTCTTGTATGCTTTTGCTCAATGAATGAACTCTGCCTGCTTCTTTTGTCTGGGGAAATATCCAGGGTCGAGGTGGGAAGAAAACAAAAGTTAAAAAAAAACTACGAAATCTATGTGGCTGTTTAGTTCTAAATACAGTATAGTAAATTACTGACAAAACGGTGTCATAAGTGCTAAGTGCTTTCATAGTTGGCATTTTTAATCGAGTGAAAAGCCATTTGACCCTGTAATCTGCCTAACAATCTTGGAGCCAAAATAAAAACTGACTCAAAGGAGTTTAACGTTCTCCTTGAAAACTAATGTATTAAACTGTATACAGCAGCGCTACATGATTGACAGTCTTGTTCACGCAGTGTTTGTCTGTGGAATGCTTTTAATTCCCAGGTCTTTTTGTATTCCAGTGCTGCCTTCACAAAGGAGCCATGTGATAGCCTCTTGATTAATTTAGTTAGAGTACATTCATATTGAATCTTTAAATGCTTATCAGTGTTAGTACTATTACATGCTTCATTATGTATGTAATAGTCCTCCTCTGTGGTGGTTAATGTGTAGATGTTTATTGCAGACTCTGGTCTGTGTTAGGCTTGTGCGGTTCCCTGAAGGATTTATTCCTCATCTTTAATTTTTGACGTTGCCCTTGCTCTGTTGCTAAGGTAACGTGAACAATACTGGGAGCTGTACTGGGCTTTCAGATATCAAGGACAGTGCAAGACTGAACTCATGTTGGCACACATGGCAATTGGGTGTTTTGTGCAGGTGTTTTCAAATTAGTTTTATTTTGATATTATTTTTGTATTGGTTTTAGTTAGTTCCACCAGCTGTTTCATTAGTTTCAGTTTAGTTTTTCAATTCTGGACTCATTTCTGTTTAGTTTTAGTTTATTTTAGTTTTAGTAATTTTAGTTAAAGTTACAGTATGTAACTTTTTTCAAATATTTTTGTTTTAGAAATGTGTTTCAAAACTTGTCTTACTGTGGAGAGCTGCTGTCGAAGCCTCCTGTGACCCAGACTCGTGGAACAGCGCGGGCAGCAGTGCAGAGATATTAGTTTCTAAAAGGTTTTGAGCAGGATTGACCTCTCTAACCAATCTGAAATGTTAAATTATTTCTGTTCGATCAGTAAGTTTGTTGCATTCTCATTTATTATATTATATTATAATCCCCCACGACACCCCAGAGTAGGTGCGCCTGGGCTGCACATGTGGAAATTGATATGTGTGTGCTTGCCTGATCCCAGATGTGTTCCACTTAAAAATAAGGCAGGCTTCTCCTCTTACCCCTTTGCTGTCACTCAACTCTAATTGGTCTGCAGTCTCCTGAACACAGCTCTTTGAGCATGATTATACTTGTGCATTCTTCTCTCAGCTGTTTTCCCTCCACCCTTTGGCTCTGATGGCTGGCAGGCAAGAAGGCACTGGCTCACCTGTACCAACCCTGGGAAAACAGCTATAGATTAAATCAGTGCAGAATGTAAAACACAGATGGCCATTGACTCTCAAATGGGTTCATGGAAAATGAGAGAGTCTTATGTCAAACTCTGCTGAGTCCACTCTGGAGCATTGTCTCTTTTCTACTGTTGCTCTTTATTCCTTTCCCTCATCTGTCAGTCCAGCCATCCTCCGCATTCCTAGCCTCCTCTTCTTTCTCTCTTGCTAGTTCTACTCTGCCAAACTCTCTTTTTCACATGCTTTCAACACACACACACACACACACTCCTCTCCCAGGTCCTTTTATTCTGTCCCTCACTATTTCACCACTCTGGCCTTCCTGTTTTTTTTTTTTTTCTTTTTTGGTCGCCTCAGGCTCCTAGTCATGGTTAATTAGCCTTGAGTTGGGCTGTGTTTAATGGTTAATGTGGTTTCTTTCTGTGAAATCACTCCCTCCCCTCCCTGCACATTTCAGCATCTATCCACGCAGGCTGCCAAGCTGTCACATTAAGAGCCTCACCTACCTACCTGCCTACCTAGCTACCTGCATACTTTGGCTGGCTGTCACTTCGCCTACCTGCAGGGGATATCGACCATATGCCTAAACCAGCATGTACATCTCCCCCAATTTCATCTTCTTTCCTAGGATGCTACATATAGATTGAGTGGGAAGGTGCATCGGAAAGGGCACAGACAAAGAGAGAGTGAGGTAGTGCTGTATAATAAGAAACAAGTGAGAGAGAGGGAGATGGGAGAGATGCCGTGTATGGAGAGAGGAAGTGAGAAAGACAGTGTGATAGATCTGACAGGGATCGAGCAAGATTGAATTGGAGGAGCAGATGAGAGATGGGGGAAGGAGCAAGAAGGCAATGTAGAGGAAAAGCTGCCAGTACCTGTTATTCTGTCTTCTCTGGGACGAGAAGAGAAGGGCCTCCATCGCTATGCCACACCACACGACAGCCGGAGAGCAGGCTGAAGTGGAGGGGAGTGGATGTGAAATTTTAATCACGTCTCTGTTTGTAATTTTAGTAGCCCCTCAATCAAAATCAAAAGCACTGCCAGCACTTTCAAGAGCTATCCTTTGGCAGGCTACTGTGCTGCCTGCTGTTGAAGTATTTAAAGGCGAATAGCATCTTGCAAACAGAGTGCTGTACAGTGATACAGATATGTAAATGGTCGTATGTTTATATGGGTGTTTGTGTGTGTAGGTCTGTACTATTGCATGCAGTCTAATACGCTGAGGAGCCAAAACCTTGTCTAATATGTGGGTGGTTCTTTACTCCAACGCACAGACGCATGGGCTCTACAAGAGGTGTTTTGTGGTAACTGGCACCAAGATGTTAACTGCAGATCCTTTTAAGTTCTGGAGGTGGCAGAGCCTGTCACCAGCTCTTGGTTTTCCCCTCCTTTGACCACTGTGGGCACCCCACAAGCCCTGCTGTTTTGGAGATGCTCCGACCCAGTTGTCTGGGCATAGAAGATAGGTCCGTGTCAGGGCCACTGAGGTCTTTAAACCGGCCCATTTCTACTGCATCACACATTCTTATTCCAAGAACCGACTGTTCACTTACCATCAGGGATGCATTAGATGTATATTAAGTGATATGCACTGTTATTTTGGCATAATCATTATTTGCTTCAGCTGTGCTCATAATGTGAGTGGCCATAATGTTTTGGCTCATTGGCATATAACATTAAATGTCATAGGATTGTGCAGTTAGATTAAAGCTCCACTCTTTGTCCATATAGGTCATAACTTCATTGCTGTTGTTTAATGGGTCTGCCCATGTACATTACGGTTTGTGTATCAGGCTCTGCTGTTGTGAAATAATTTTCTGCTAGCTGCAGGGAGCACCACTTTCATCCACATACCATAAAATTTGGTGCCCAGAGGACAAATCCTACTAATTTTGGTTATCCCCTGACTTTTCCTTTAGCGCTACCATGAGGCTGACATTTGTTGTTTTGAGAGAAATGTCTTGACTCAGCTATTTGATGGATTTCCAGTGTGGTTCAAACAACCGTGTCCACTTTAAGATGATTTGTACAAACATTTGAGATCCTGGGACTAGTGCTGCCATCAGGTTAAACTCATAATTCACCCAAAACTTTGTTTTATGACCAAATGCTGTCAAAATAAATGACATTTCCATCAGTCATTTGACAGCGTGTTGTCACACTAATGGTCATTTTCCACAGGATGGCCAAAACTAAATAGTATGTCTTAATATATAATCAGGGAATTCTGTAGTCCAATTTAAGCAATATCGGCTACAGTATGTCTTTGAAAATAAGCACCCACAGGCATAAAGCATCAAGCCCCGCAGTCCCGGTCAGCACAAAAAAGTTTTTGGGGTGGAATGGATTTTTATTTATGTTATCAGTTATAGATAACAGTAAAATCTTGATCAAGCAAATTATTTTAACTCAGTTCTGATGTTTTTCTGACTTTCAGGTACTTAATCTGTTTTATAATCTGACAATCATATCTCTGGTTTCGACTTTAAAGAGTTGATGGATATTTTAGTCACTTGTGGGCAACATAAAAATACACTTGCACATTATCAAGGTACCTGCCAATGCTGGAAATGAGGATGATGAGAGTGGTGAGACCAAAACAGTAAAACGGCTGTAAAACAAACAAACAAACAAAAAAAGTTGTTGAAAGATGCTAAAACTTTGTCAGCAGATCACTGCTGAGATTACATCATTTATCCAATACTTTTGGTTTATCACCAAGTAGCTGCAAAATATTCACCTCCGCCTCAGTTGCAAATATTTACATGGTAACATGCTAAAATAAGATGGTCAACATGGTAAACATTGTACCTGCTAAACATAAGAATTGTCATTGGGAGACAAGGCTGTCATAAACAGTGCAGGTTTCAGAACATTCAAACTGTGATAATGTTTTTTGGAGAAGATACTTGTTAGGCCTTCAGGATACAGAAAAGTGCAATCTGGTGAGAAGCAGAATATACACAAATCAGTTTTGATTACAATAAAAACATCCCAAGGTGTCTTTTATGTTCTACAGTATAAACGTCTTTTTATTGACTTTCTCTGAGCTGTGTGTTTTCAGAGGAAATGTCACCTAGCAGCCAATGAGTCAGGTGGAAGCCACTATGGCCAGTCAGTGGAAAACAGCACCAGAGAACAGTATTTTATTAGCTAGTTACTGCAGCTTCTAAATCATAAGCCATGACCAAAATGTGAAAGTGGTAATCCATCCACAATGCCCCATAGGCTAATGTATGTACATACATAAGAGATTTCTTGACAAGAATAACAAAGCAGCCACAGTGCAGCAAACTTGTAAAAAAGGGGACTTTTTAAATCCCTCTAGTACAAGTCAGAGTGCACTGATTCTAAAATAAAAGCATACTAGTATAACAGATTATGAAATGCTTCTAAATCAATTATTTTTTGTTTGTTTTTTATTTTTGTTAATCAGCCAGGGTATGTGAAGCTGTCCAAGCCAGTTGCCCTATGGACCCAACAGGACGTGTGCAAATGGCTAAAAAAGCACTGCCCCAATCAGCACCAGATTTACAGCGACTCCTTCAAGCAACACGACATCACAGGTACTTTTTTTTCCCCAAGCAGTCAGGAAATAGGATTTGTACTGTAGCTGTTGACAAGTGAATAGTGATTGATGCATCCATTTGCGTTGTAGGAAATTACCTGACAATCCACTCCACAGTCATTTATGATTTGTGTGGAGGTCAGATTTGCTCTGTTTATGCAGTAATTTGTTTTGTGAAGTGTTTGTTTAGTTTGTTGAGGAGAATACTGGCATCATGGACAACAGCCAGCCAATCATTATCTAATATATACTGTGTGTCCTGGGGAGGGGCGAGGGCGAGGTACAACCGGGACAGGTCGCCAGTCTGTTACAGGGTTGACACATAGAGGCAGACATCCATTCACACTCACACCTACAGACAATTTAGAGTTGCCAGTCAAGCCAACCTGCATGTCCTTGGACTGTGGGAGGAAGCCAGAGTACCCTGAACAAGCCATGCAGGCACGGGGAGAACATGTAAACTCCACACTGAAATGCCACGGTCGGGGTTCGAACCTAGAACCTTTTTGCCGTGAGGCAGCAGTGCTAGTCCCTGTGCTGCCACACGTTGACAACTTCTGTTGACAAAACAATGTTTTTTGTGTCATTTCCTGTCCCGATAAAGCCAGAACTCATTCATAACATCCCAGGTGCTCTCTGCACTCACTGTCTGCCATCTGCCGTCGTGCCACCCGGCCCACCCGTCTGTCCATCCCTGCTCTCCTACCGTCGACGTTACCACTGACAACAGTTGCCACGTCAATCATTTCCCTAATGAGACTCCTCAAGGTCATCCTGGCCTTGGCAGGGCTTTGGTCCACGAACCTTAATTGCCACATGCTCTAACCCTCAGAGCACGACTGATCACATTAATATGTTTATTTGTTGCTGTGCAGGACCTCCTCAACTTAGTTACCGGCTGGCAGGATGAAACACTTGGCGATCATGACCAGTGGGGAATGACTCGTTCCCATTTTACCCTTTGATGCATTTTGTCTGTTATGTGTTTGCATAGTGAGCTTTGAGACTTTGCATCCTTTGTTTAATGGTCTGAAAATATGAATCTGTCTGGTTTGCATTTCAAGTTGCTCATATATTTCATCATCAGCATAGAGGTCCAGGAGATAGCCCACAGTCCATTGCATGCTTGCTGAACTGATGCTACATTTTGGATCCATCTTCAGTAGAGTCATTTTGGAAATGTTTATTTTGTTTTCTTTTTCTTTCAAGCTGCAGTGCAATGTCTAATCACTTGTGAAATGTAGTTTTTTTTAAAATGCTTTTTCATTTGTGTCTCATGCAAAATAAGGCATTCACAGGAGTAATGTTGATTAAATATAAGGCAAAAGAAACATATCTGAAAATGTGTTTATCTAAAAAGAAATCATATCAAATGCATTTATCCAGTGTTTTACTTTGTAGGGTTTCCTCATCTGGTCCATATCTAATTAAGGAAATTTAATCTAACTTTAAAATTAAACACCTGAGTGTTGCTGACAAGCCTGATGCATTTGGATATAGTCTGTAAATAAATTGTGTTTTTTCTATTAGCCTTTCAGTGATGGAAACACAAATTAGCTTCCTAATGGTATATTAACATAATGGCCCGTGTCTGTTTGTTAAGATGTAATTATTTTTAAAGGATCGTACAAGCGATGAAAGGGTTAACCTGACATGAGTGCACACTAGCACATACAGAACACACACTTGTACAATGGCTCAGTTACAGTAGGAGATAATGGCATGCATAAACCCTGCAAGTAATTCAGTTTGTCTTCACATCACACATTCATTACCAGAACCCAATTAAAATAGGGTAAGCCACACCAATTGGGCTCACAAGGCAATTTGCATCCCAATCAATCTTTGAAATATTATGCGGATATTGTTCTGTTCCTACACCCTATTAGAATAAACAAGAGGGAAACAAATGATGAATGGAATATTGTTGTGGAAAACAATCATGCGTAGACAAACAAACAGTGAGGATGAATACATTTCTAAGTGCATGCAGGCATACATTGGAGAATATCTATTTGTTCAGTGTGCTTCTCATACATTGGCTGTGACCCTTGAAAAATGGAGATGTGGGTGTGTTCATGTTTGTTTGCATGAATAGGTATGATTTTTGGTTTCTTAGTACAGGATTCTCTAGACTGTAGCACTGAATTTACAGTATTTTCTGTCCAGTCTATCCATAACAGAATATTCATCAGTCTTCTCAGCTGCCAGCAGTACTCAGTCGCACTTGCCTGGGCAATGTAGTCATCCCTTCATAAAGTAGCAAATCAATAAGCAGGCGCTATCCCAGATCATAATTCAAACAGGCATTTGTGTCCTCCCACCTCTGACATAAAACAGTGGCGAGGGAAATGCATTTTACCGTGTAACTAGACTGGTGCATCTTCAGTATGCAGAAGCTACCTCCTTGTAAACAAAGAAATCTGTTTGCCCTCCTCCCTCCAGCCTCTATTGCCATCTTCACCTCCCACCCCCAACACGGACGGCGCTGAATTTGACATTAACGCCTAGCTGTCATTAAAAATGCATTAAGGCATAATTAGATATTAGCCGCTAATTTGTTGCAATTACAAGGATGAAGCGCTTTTGGTGAGAGAATAGTTTGGGACAACAAATGAGTTACCTCAGATGCAATCATAATAAAAGGTGTGATGACATGAAATCAAAAGCAAGAGGGTGGTAGAGGAGAAAGGGTTAGTCACTATTAAGTTAAATTTTCTGTCAAAGAAGGCCATTGAATCATGGTGTGGAAATTTAAAGTTCCTCCTAAGGCATACAATAACAGAACTAGACAACACTCAGAGTGCAAACCTCTGTCCTTGTCCCAACAATGTCATTACACCTAAAAACACTATTCCCATGATAGTTTGACCATCATAATATGATTCCTTGACCATGGAAACATTACTCTAGCATTTGGAGTCACACTGCTATCATTATTAGTTTGAAAATTATTTAAGAAACCAATATTTCAGTAATGGTGGTTCCATTCAGAGTCTTGCTAAGTAACTATGACGTATCGTCAGATCTGTTGACACTCCACTGAATCGGCAGAGGTTCAGCTACAATTTGATCTTGGTTGCAAGTCTGCATAATTACTTGTTGTCTCACAGTAGTGAGTTTTTTTGTGAGCCCTACACTATAAATTTGCACATTTTAGATCACCACATCTGGAATATAACTTGGATCCAGATCATACTTTGGTGTTTGGCTGATCTTGTGTTTCCCTAAGCATTGTAGGTTTGATGTATGGGTTAGCATCAAAAATACTGAAACTAGCCGTATCTCACAATGATGAAGAGTCCTTTAAAATATTCCTGAATCAAATTACAGTATCATGTGAAGAAAACCAACTAACAAACAAAATGACAAACACACCAGAAACAAACCCCAGCTGTACAAACTGGTTAATAATAGTTATACTGACCATTATTCAGTAGAATAAATGAATGTCAAATGAACAACTAAATATTTGAACATGATATAATATCATGAATTTGTAACTCCTACTGCTGTGGACCGAGGATGAGACGAGGGGCCCCTGGACACAGACAACACAATATCTGGCTTTGCATCTCAATGTTTTGTGTCTCTTTCTAGTTGTTTATCTCTTTAGTCATCTTGCGTCCTGTAGTGGTGTTTCTGCAGCTCTTGGTGATCCTTCTGCATCACTTTAGTTGTTTTGTATCTTAGGTTTGATTAAAGCAAAGATGGTAGAGCAGTGTGAATTAGGACCTGAAAATGCAGGGTAAACTACTCCCACCATCCACTGGTTAGATTTTATTTTTCACATAAAGGAATACTCAGCTGAATAACCAGTCTGGTAATATCCACTGATGTACGGTGCCATAAGGCCTTACTCTGAATAATTAATACCCTGTGATATTAGTGGTGTGATGAAGAATGGCCTGTGCCCAGGAGCTCACCCAATACCCCTTCAGTTCATTTAAAGGTCTGTCTTTAAACCGCTCTGGTTGCTGGATCCACCATCTCTTCACTCTGAAAATAACAGCAGCTCTGGCCATGATGGTCTCGTTCACTGGAAGGTCCCACACCGGGTAGAAAATGTATATTTGATGAGCCGCAGAAAAAGATGAAAGGTGACAAGTGTTATTTTAAAACCAGGCGAGGACACCTAGCAACAGACCTAAACAGTGATGAAACAGTGAATTCTGCAGCTTCAACAGACTGCTGTCATTAAAGTGCTGCTGTGTAATAGAGGAACAGCCACATAGTAGACAAGTCAAAAGGACTAATATGACTGCATATCAACTCTGGAGCCACAAAACAGCTCCACTGGTGACCATTGTTTTGTGCCATTTCCAAAAGGGAAATCTGAACAGCTCGCTGCTGATGAACTGTTTGGGGGGCAGTTTGATCCACAGACAGAAGGAAACACGGTTAATGATGCTGTCGGCAAGGTGATTATATGGGAACGTGTAATATAAAATTAATTACTGTTCTGTGAATTGCATGTTCTGACTGGATGCCATCCCTGTTTTTCCGTATGGAGATTTTGAAAATGAATCTTTAGAGACTGAGAATGAATGCAGTATAGCGGTTATATAACATGTAGCATGATACTGTAGCTTGTGTCCCCAGTGAGTGAGTTGTACTGACCACAGTAAGACGACTTGAAGTTTAATCAGATGACCTAAATCTTTGTCACTATGTGGTCTTGTTATTACGTCTCAGTATTATTCTCACACACAGTGCTGAGTATGTCCCACCAGTCTTTCACCAGTATGATCCAGCAGTGGCACTCCAGCTAAGAAAGACTTGAGACCAGGCAGTGCCTCAGTGACACCTCTAGGCATGGCTGGAGTTTTTACACTGTGCTGTTGCTGCTTGTATATCTATTAAAACATAGTAGGGTGTGACTATCTGCATGAGGATTATGTGTCCAGCTTACATTCAGTGCTCTAGCTATATTACTTTATTAAGTTAATAAAAGCTGAGGTATCGGATCATTTCTTGAGTTGTTATCGTGTTTAAGCA